TTTATGCCTTATATTTCTTCCCTCCCTCCAGTACACTATTAAATAGAAATACTGAGAATGAACATTGTTGTCTTGTTCTTATCATAGGGAAAACGTGTTCAGTCTCTCACCATTGTTTAACATTAGTTTGAGGAAGTCCCTCCTATAGCTAGTTCGCTGAGAATTTTTATCATGAGGGGTTATTTTATCAAATGCTTTTTCTGCATCTATTGAGATGATCATCTGATTTTCTTTTTTATGTTAAGATAGTAAAATATATTTATTGACTTTTGAATGTGATATTGCATTTCTTGCATTCCTCGTATAAATCCCACTTAGTCATGGTGTATTAACCATTTTATATATGCTGGATTGAATTTGCCATTTTTCTGGTAAGGAAGATTCGCCCTGAGCTAACATCTATTGCCAATCTTCCTCATTTTTTTGCTTGAGGAAGATTAGCCCTGAGCTAACATCTGTGCCAATCTTCCTCTATTTTGTATGTGGGTCACCGCCACAGCATGGCTGACAAGTGGTGTAGGTCCATGCCCGGGATCCAAACCCATGAACCTGGGCCACCTAAGTGGAGTGCACTGTAACTTTAACCAGTACGCCATGGGGCCAGCCCCTGGATTTTTTTTTTTAATACTTTATTTTTTAGAGCAGTTTTAGGTTCACAGCAAAATTGAGCAGGAAGTATAGTTACCCCATCCCCCTCACCACACAGCCTTACCCACTATCAACATCCCACTCCAGTGGTACATTTGTTACAATCAATGAACCCATAATGACATATCATGAACACTCAAAGTCCATAGTTTATATGTTAGAGTTCACTCTTGGTGTTGTCCATTCTATGGGTTTTGACAAATGCATAATGACATGTATCTACCATTATAGTATCACAGAGAGTAGTTCACTGCCCTAAAAATCCTCTGTGCTCCACTTATTCAACCCTCCCTCCCCTCTAACCCATGGCAACCACTGGGCTTTTTACTGTTTCCATAGTTTACCTTTTCCAAAATGTCATATAGTTGAAAAGATTGGCTTCTTTAACTTAGTAATACACATTTAAGGTTCTTTCTTTTCTTTTCATGGCTTGATAACTCATTTCTTTTTAGCACTGAATAATACTCCATTGTCTAGATGTACCACTGTTTATCCATTCACCTACTGAAGGACATCTTGGTTGCTTCCAAATTTGGCAATTAAGAATAAAACTGCTGTAAACATCCATGTGTAGGTTTTTCTGTGAACACAATTTTTCAAGTCACTGGGGTAAATACCAAGGAGCGTGATTGCTGGATCTCATGGTAAAAGAATGTTTAGTTTTGTAAGAAACCGTCTTCCAAAGTGGCTGTACAATTTTGCATTTCCACCAGCAATGAATCAGAGTTCTTTTGCTCCACATCCTCATTAGCATTTGGTGTTGTCAGTGTTTGGATTTTCACCATTCTAATAGGTTGTTGTGGTATCTCACTGTGGTTTTAATTTGCACTTCTCTAATGATATATGATGATGAACATTTTTTGTATGCTTATTTGCCATCTGTATGACTTCTTCAGTGAGGTGTCTGTTCAGATCTGTTGCCTATTTTTTCATCAGTTGGTTTGTTTTTTATTGTTGAGTTTTAAGAGTTCTTTGTATATTTTGGATAACAATCCTTTATCAGATATGCTTTTGCAAATATTTTCTCCCAGTCTGTGGCTTGTCTTTCTCATTTTCTTGACAGTGTCTTACAGAGAAGTTTTTAATTTTGAAGAAGTCCAGTTTATCAATTATTTCCTTCCTGGACCATGCCTTTGGTCTTTTATCTGAAAGGTCATGGCCAAACCCAAGGTCATCTAGATTTAACTACTAGATGTTATCTTCTAGGAGTCTTATAGTTCATATTTTATATTTAGGTCTGTGATCCATTTTGAGTTAATTTTTGTAAAGGGTGTAAGGTCTAGATTTTTTTTTTTTTACATGTGGACGTCCAGTTCTAACACATGTTGAAAAGACCATCTTTGCTCCATTGTATTACTTTTGCTCCTTTGTCAAAGTTCAATTGATTATCTTTGTATGGGTTGGATCTTATTTTTTAACTAGTGTGCCTTTTAACTGAAATTTTTAGTCCATTTCTTTCAAATAATTTTGATATGTATGGGTTTAAGTTGGCCACTTGCTGTTTGTTTTCTAATTGTCCCATTTTTTCTTTTTTCCTTCCTGTGTTCCTCCTTTCCTGCCTCCTTCTTAGTGTGTCTAATTCCTCATTGTTTTTATGCCATACTTACATTAGCTTTTTAATGGTTTATCTGTTCAGTTTTTAAAAAGCACCTCCCCCCCATTTTTCTGATTGGATATATCTGTAGATTTATGTTCAAGTTCACTAATCCTTTCTTTTGCAACATCCAGTAGCCCATAAAATGAGCTTTTCATTTTAGTTCTTTTTTTTTTTTTACAATTTCCATTTTTTTGATGAGATTCTCTATTCACTCTTTATGACCATTTTTCCTTTATGTCCTTGAATATATTTAAATAGCTGCTTTAAAGCTTTATTAAGTTCTGTTAATTACCACATGCTGGGTCATCTTGGGGTCTGTTTCTAAGAACTGTTTTTTTTTCTTGATCATGGGACACATTTTCCTGCTTCTTTGCATAGCTAGTAATTTTTTATTGTATGATGGACATTGTGGATAATACCTTTTAGGAGTCTGAATTATGTCATCTTTCTTTAAATGGTATTGAATTTTATTCTTTGTTAGAGTGGGACTATTTGTTTGAACTTAGTGCAATATGGCCCTGGCTGGCTGCCTGTTTTTGTAAATGAAGTTTTGTTAAAACATAGCCATTGCCCATTTGTTTGTATATTGTCTATGGCTGCTTCTGCACTATAACAGCAGAGCTAAGTAGTTGTGACATAGACCATATGGCTCACAACTCTAAGTTATATACTATTTAGCATTTTAAGAAAAAGTTTGCCAACTCTTGCTCTAGGATACACTCCTGACTCCTAGTCACATTTCTGTAATAGTAGCTAAATGGCTGAGGTGTTCAGTGAGGTCTCTCCACTTAGGCTGGCCTTCTCAGCACTAACTTCTGGTATCACTGTTCAATTCTCAGTCCCAGAGCAGGTAATCTTTTGCTAGGTCTTGCAGATTCTTTTCCTGTACATGCATATCCCAGCCCTCAGACAAGTACTCTTGATGAGACCTCATGCAAATTTCTGCCTCCCTCCCCACAGATCCCTTTTCTCTTGAACTGCCACCTGCCTCAGTAACCCAACCTCTGCCTCTTCGGCTCAGCAGGACTGCCACTCTGCTTAGGCTCAACCTCCCTGTGATAATGCTGGAAAACACCCCCAGGCAGAATCTCAGGATGATCAACTGTGGGGTTTAACATCCTGTGTCTCCCTTCTCTCAGGAATCACAGTACTGTGCTGTCTATTGTTCAATGCCTGAAAATATACCTGCCCACATATATTTTGCCAGGCTTAACGTTGTTTTGGTGAGAGGGCAAATTTGGCACTAGTCACTCTGTTATGGTAAGATAAAGCTGCTGTTGCAAAACCAAAGATCCTAGAAAACAGAATATTCTGTTGATTCTACTCATGGCTTTTTATTTACTGGTACTCACTGAATTCTCTAAGTAGTCATTTTCAGGTTAACTATGTCCAATTCCTTTAACTATCTCTCATAATACAACACAGATACTATGTAAGTCATTACATGTAGGAGATGCACAACCAGGACATTTCCTGTCTTCAAGGAGTTCAGTCTTGTAAACCAGATAAACATCACACACATCCCTGTTCGCTTTTTGAAATACATCTCTGAGCGTGTAGCAGAGCATACAAAACTAAAGGTAATTAAAAACAGAAGGCTAGATTTCCTTTCTATCCTCCCCTATCATCTTTTTTAGGGTAGAGGTGGAAAACAAATCTAGCATTATGGGAGAAATTGGGTAGAATTTATAGAAATCTAAAAAATGTATAGCAATAAGACCTAGGCAAAGATCACCTTTTCTGGACTTCTTTCTTTAGTTACAAACTATTGAGAAATGGGTTAAATGCAGGCTGGTTTTTACCTTCCTAAGATCAGTGGTTTCAGAAATAAATCAACTCAGTTTTGTTTTGTGAATTTTTAGAGCTATGTCTTTGGCCCCAAAACTAAGATATAATTAGGGACCATAACCTCATTCAGAGAGACTTTGCCTGCACTTTCTTATGGCTAAACCTCCCTCCAGTGAAGTTGCTTTGTACTGTTTTAGTTACCCTTAAGTCCTATCTTAAGAGAAGTCATTCAGTGCCAACACCCAGTTGGGAAGCTTAGAAGGCACATCACAAGCACTGTAGCCTACTTACTGTCCAATTATCAAACAAAAGGAAGAATGAGATATTTAGGGGGAGAAACTTTTAACCTTATTTTAAATTAATCTGAGCTTTCCTATCACATCATAGGGAATATCTAATTTAGAAGGAAAAATAGGTGGTTTTGCCACATCTAACTTGCGTTGCTTAGAGTTGGCATTAGTGTAAAGGCCATCATTCTGTCCCACTCTTTGAGTTGTAAACATCTGACCGGGGACAATGCCTGACTAGTAACAGCGCAAGTTGTGTAGGTTCATGAGGTTTGAGGTAAGAGCAAATTTTGATATGCCTGTTTCTCTTAACAGTACAGGTCAGAGGTTGGCAAACATTTTCTGTAAAGGGCCAGATAGTTAAGTATTTTAGGCTTTGCAGGCCACATGGTCTCTGTCACAACTACAGCTCTGCCATTGTAGTAGGAAAGTACCTATAGATGCTGTGTAAACAAATGAGTATGGCTGTGTTCTAATAAAGTTTATTTACAAAAATATGCAGCTAGAATTTGGCCTGAAAGCTATAGTTTGCTAACCCCTAATGAACATAAATCTAAGCTGGCAAAAATTTAACTGTGTTTCCGGTTTTATAAAATTTTCAAGATTGTGAAAAAATGTTTTCCTGTTTTGTAAATTGGCCTTTTTATTGAGTGTTTTTCTATTGATAAGATAAAGCTGTCATTACTGTTTCTACATACTACCTGATCATACGATATTTTGCATTCTATAACTTCAAAATGAAACCTCCCTTTTCTTGACAGATAAACACTACATGTGAAGACTGGTGAAAGGGAACATTGATTTCTGAAGGGGGGCCCTCAGAGGAAAAGCTCTGATCAGTGTCACGTGGACAAACGCTCAGTGTTTTCCGAAAATGCTTTGAAGTAGTCTTTGCTACTGCTTTCCTTCTCTTCAGAACATGGGCTGCATGAAATCAAAGCAAACTTTCCCATTTCCTACCACATTTGAGAGTGAGAAGCGGCATGCGGATGAAGAAAGCTTTGTGTTGGAAGAGAGATTTCTACCTAGGATGCCTTCTCCAGTTATCGATAAAGAGGAAGTGAAGGAACCTCCAGGGCCAGAAGTTGTGGTCTTCGAATTTGCACACCGCCTGTCCCAGGAAATCCTGAATGATGCCTTGCAGCAGTGGGCAGGCAATAACATCAAGTATCATGACATCCCATACATTGAGAGTGAGGGGCCTTGACGCTGTAGGATGACACTTTCTTGAACTGTGGATACAGTTGGTGCTAGTTTAAATACATGAAACAAAAGCAAAAACTGGTGTGGATAAATACAAATAACTCCATCTGGATGTAAAAATATGTCTATGATAATATCACGAGTGTAGGGAAACCTAAAATGAAATGTGTTTTAAGCAGTTATAAGTTAACAGCAATTTCTATCGGTTTGCTCTTGGATTTTAGTCATTTAAAGGGCTAAACATTGTCCTGTGGCACCACAGTAATCAGCTGTATGTCACACCACTTTCTTCCTGAGGCCAGTGATGGTATCACCAAAGAAATAAAAATAAACAAGTGCCCTAAGTTTCCAAAGGGTTATTTTAAAGACACTCATTTAAAATAACTATTTGTTATTTTACACAAAAAACCCAAGATATGAAAAGAATTTTTCTTGAAATGCCTTGGCAAGGGACTTGCACTCAAGCCATGGTGATTAACAGTGGGTCCTGTTTGTCAAAACCATTTGTGTCAAGGATCCCTACTTCTTGATACAAATGATCAAGCACTAGAAAGCAATCCATGTAGAAGAGGTCCACCTTGCACCCTGTCCTTAATAAGCTATTTATTTTTGTAGATGAAAAGCATAGCTGTCACCCTGAACCTCAGGGCCCTAACTAACCACAGCTGTCACTGGATGACTCATACTTTGAGTACAGGCATCTTAACAAGATACAATTTATAAGTCATGACTTTCATGTTTATTGCATTAAGAAGCCCAGTGATATAACTATACAAGAAAACAAGTATAGGTACCTTGTATAAATAGCAATCCAGTAAATTTTAAAATAACAGAAGCCCTAGTCTCAGCAAGGTAGAAAGCAGAACCTGGTCTCAGTGCTGAATGTGTATTAAGCTTTACTGTCTCCCAGACGCAGAGGGCTGGTATATGGGCACTGGTTCCCATTTTTTTATTGACTAGTGGAGCAGTCACCATTCAGATTACTGTGGGACCAGATTATACCTGAGGATTTATAGTTGTAACAAAACAAAAGATCAAACACTCCTCCAAGGAGAGCACTCTTGTATTATGGTGGTAATGCCCATGGGGATTTACAACCATATACTATACTATTTTCATAAATTTGGCTACCTTTTTGGGGAGGCTTTTTTTTTTTTAACTGTCAAGCACACTTTTTTTTTTTTTAAAGAATTAAGTACTGTTTGAGATCAATAGTAACAGAAAATTTAGGAGAGAGGGAAGATGATACTGAGAAGACATAACTTGCAGGAAAATTGGGACTGAGTCTCTAGATTAGAATTATCTTTTCATCAAGATTTGCTACATATTTAGTTTAATTGGAAAGGGAATTATTTAAGTCCTTGTGCATTAGTTCTTTGTATTAAGATAACAGATCCTTGTCACTGAAATCTAAAGGAAGGCAGAAAAAGGCTCTGACCTCTTTAATGAGATAAGTATGTATTTGGCCTTGTAAGCAGGCAGAAATGTTACCTCTATTTTCAACAATTATACTTTGGAACCTACAATCAAATAGAGTAAATTCTCCAAGTTACATGGGCAAAGACAGTTCTTTGAGGTGAGTGATGTGCCATCTTTCAGTTGCCTTTGGACACCTGGTCATTCAACTTTCATTTGACCTAATCCCAGGATTTGTACTGTCCTGTTGTACTTGCAGTCTAGCAATTTACAAAACAGAAAAACCACCACCCCTGTTCATACAAGGATCTGAAGTCGTAAGGCTACAAACAGAAAGTTTCCCAAAAGTGCAAAACATATTTCCAGCTCATGAAGAAAAATTTAGGTTTTTGAGTGTTTACACTAATGACTCAGATGGAAGCCTAGATATTGCCATTTTTCATTCATGTTGTATCTCACATCAGGACACTTTTGCTGCAGGGTCATTTGCTGTTTAAAAGCTATAATTAGGTATATAAAATAATAATATTATGCTGAGAACACAAAGCCATATAAAAGCAGCACATCATACTAAATTTTCCAGCATGCACAGGGACACAGACTAATGGGTTTTGGTTATATCTAAATATTTTAACATCAGGTCCCTCCTTTGCCCTGGGCCCCTATCTCTCAGGGGTATAACAGGGATGCCTGTCAGATCCGTATCTAGCCAGAATTCTAATCTCCATTGCCACCCTCTCTGACATTACGGCGCTAGGATTTTGTAGTGGAGCACCACCCCCTCGCCCCTGAATCATTTTAACAGAGTATAATATCTTATGACATACAGAGACTTACCTTAGAAATATATGCTGTATTATATGTCAAACCATGAACAAGGAACTACAAGGATTGTATAATCAGTGAGTTAGTGGATGAACCAAGTTGGAGGCAGGCATGAGAAAGAGGTGGATAAACCCATTTGTACTGCATGTGATAGTTATCGAGATATAATTTGGGGGGCCGGCCCCGTGGCTTAGCGGTTAAGTGCGCGCGCTCCGCTGCTGGCAGCCCGGGTTCGGATCCCGGGCGCGCACCGACGCACCACTTCTCCGGCCATGCTGAGGCCGTGTCCCACATACAGCAACTAGAAGGATGTGCAACTATGACATACAACTATCTACTGGGGCTTTCGGGGAAAAATAAATAAATTATATATTAAAAAAAAGATATAATTTGACCTTGATGACAAGCAAGATGAGAACTTCTTTGATAGGATAATTCAACTTCTATCATACCTTCATATATAAATATTGGATTTACTTCATTTTGAAGGTCTTTCACGAACAATAAAAGAGTAGACGGACTGTTTGACAAGGAAGGAGACGTATAAAACAGAAGACTATAAGAACCATTAGCTACTGGAAAGGGAAACATTTGTTCCAACTTATATCACAAACAGATGAAGTAAGAATAGTGGCCAAATTATAAGGGAAAGTGGGGAAAATGTGGTCCAAGCAACAGCACTGATGTCAGGCTCCATCAGAAGATGCACTGCAAAAACAAGTTTCCAGTCTTTTCAGCTGAGGGAAAGGACACAGTAGCAAGTTCCTTTCTTTACCACACTGACACGTGCCCATCCACTGAATCTCTTCCCGCAAGAACATCCAGCATAGAGGCAGATGAGCCGCCACCAGCATGACAAAGAAGCGACTGTAGAAGCGGCAGATCATTTACCAAGACTCACATAACCCACACGTGTGCCTCACTGCTCCCTCCCCAGTGAACTGTCTCTTGTGTACGATTACCTTTCAGTTACAGGCCTTTGATCTGAGAGTTGTCCACTGTCAGCTGCCTTATCAGTTCTTTTGCAAACTACCTATGGTTATTAGCACTTAAAGCACAATTTTGAAGGAGATAAAAATGATCTTAGTCTCAAAAGAATAATTTGTGTCAAACTGCCTTATTAGTATTAAAAATAGACACACTGAATGAATGAAGAACATGATGCTCATATATCCTACTCAATATCATTGGCATCTTAAGAGACAGGGGGGGCCGGCCCCGTGGCTTAGCGGTTAAGTGCACACGCTCCGCTACTGGCGGCCTGGGTTCGGATCCCGGGCGCGCACCGACGCACCGCTTCTCTGGCCATGCTGAGGCCACGTCCCACATACAGCAACTAGAAGGATGTGCA